GTGTGGTGGATGTTTGATTTCGTACGCAGTCATGGACCTTGTCATTTGTGCTTCCTCTTGTTCCCGATGCAGGTGATGACTCCCACGAGGTCTGAAATTACCTTTGGCGTTTTTCTCGTCAAAACAATTGGCAAGGCACAATTGTCATGATGTGTTTCTCATTGTTGAAAGGTGACCATGTTGCAGCGGCTTTCGCTGGACTGGCTGTCGCTGTTTCCTGAAAGGCCCTCGTCACCTTTAAGGGATTCTCCTAGATGCTGTGCTGAAAGTTTGAAGAGATAATAAGAGGATGGCACAAACGGAGTTCCAAGGAACTTGCAAGGACGTGAAACTTGTCAGTACGCTGACCCAGCAAATGCCAGCATCCGCGAAGCATCAAACCAGCCCTCCAAATCACGGCCGCAGCGGCCCCCACGTGTAGAAGCCAAGGAGATGCCAGAACCGCCTTCGATGCGGTAGTAGCGGTACGAGGTATGCCCGGCCTGCAAGAGAGCAACCCGACCCTGCCCAGCGGAGCTAGGAAACCCTGTGCCAAGGAGACAACCTGACAGGTATCGAAAAGACCAGGACCAGCGAGGCAGTGGGCTTGCTTGTCTGCTAATCGCCACTACACAAATCGAGCTCAAGGCTGCAAGCAGCATGGCCCCCGGCCAGGGCCTTAGAACGGAAGCTTCCCGAATTCTCCTAGCCAGCCTTAAGCTGCAACTCTCCCTTGCCGTTCGCCGTTCGAAGCTCGGCGGGTGTGTTCCTGACCCCAGAAGCACCAGAACGAATAGTCACAACACCCGCAGAACTGTCATGCAGTATAGACTGGGACAGGCAACGCGCGCCAAACGGCAACTCGAAGCAAGGGCCAGCCCAAGCGATGCATTGTAACCGAATCGGTGGCTGCATGATTGTGCTGTAAAGTCCCCCTGACGAAGCACCCTGCGAGAAATAGAACAAGTTCGTTCAGGTTGGAACATCTGGGCTTCCAAGAGTCATGATGTCCAGCAGGTTGTTGGTGCCATTGATATTCACGATATTCCTGAAAGAAGCCAAAGGGGTGAGTCCAGCTCGAGACCAAATTCAGCTTGCACATTACTTGCACCTGCCCTCTTCCTCTGGCACCATCGGCATTCTGCAGTATACAGGAAGTTTACCGAAAGGATTCGCAAGATTACGCAATCGGCTCTACCCTATGCACCCTGAGAAATTCTACCCGTGCAGAGTCTGAGGTATGCGAATGGCTAAGCACGGAAACCAAACTGTGGGGGAAGCAGCATGCAGTACATCACCCCGGTTTCAGAGTTTGTAAAACTCAGAAAGGCTTGCTCAGTCCCCAACCCAACAATACCAACCATGCACCATGCACATCTCTACGGCCCTGATAACCAAAAGAGTCCATCTTCGTTCCCCCTATAAAACTGAAATGACTTGAAAGTCATTGCCTTGGCTTCAGCAGGATTTCAGTCTTCGGATGGCCTAAATTGCTCAAGCCGATATCTGGGAACACAAAGGAGCTTTAGGAGCGAGAGCATCGAACGCTCCATGACTTGAATTCTGCCAACAGCCTCTCACCCCTAAGCCCCTAAACCCTAAACCGGGGAGACTGTATGTGCGCCATGTTGCCAGGCATGGTCGGCAAAGCCATTCTCCCTGCGAAATTTGGCGACCTTGCGAGACTTGTTGCCCGTTCGGCTGCGGGCATCCGCTAAAGGAAATCAGATACGAGGGCCATTACAACATCAGTATACTCAACAGTAATCTACTGTATTATACTATGCTATACATACTATACTATACTGTACTATACCATCCTACACTCTACTCTACTATACTACACTACTCTCTCTCACACACACACGGACTCAGTAACCTGTCAGCCGCAACGCAAGACACGGCGGCTTCGCTATGTGCGTGTATCTACAAAGAAATGAAATCCGAGAAGAGTGACTATACGATGCTATGCTGTGCTATACTTGCTGCTGGCAAAGAGCAACAAGAAGGCACTCCAGCAAACCTCGACACTAACTGTTTGCTAACCCCCTACTACTTCAGCCAGCGACATCTGCCCGAAGAGTCCAACATCCGAAGCTCCCAAGGGACTAGATGGACACGGCTTATGGCGCCCAGAAAAGGATGAAGCGCAGCAAGGTCACATTGGTTACGTCAGGAGGCACGATGACTCCAGTCAGTGCTGCGCAGTCTGCCACCTGCACGAGCGCAAGAGGGTTCCGGAAAAGGCAGGCAGACTCCCCTCGAGGGAAGTTGTCGTGTCAAGCCAGAACTTTACAACCGTCTCTCGCAGGCAAACAAAATAATTATCCTAAAACCGCCCCGCCACTATGTCACTACGTCCCAAACACAATGTTCACTTTAGACATCCCAAACGATGAAATCCTGAACCCGAGCATCCTTCAGGCAGTGAGTGTCCGGCTTATGGCACGAAGATCTCGTCGGAAAGCGTGCTCTCAAAGCGAAACTATGCTTTTGGGCTTCAGGTCATCCCCCTGTTCCGGAACTGTTGGACTTGGAACTCGCTTCAGGGAGTCGCTGGGGATGACTCATGGTTTTCACTGGGCATCGAACTGGAACAAAACTGAGGAGCCTGGACTTGATCCGGGACCCTGTGTAGGGGCCTTAACAATCAGACGAGGGTTCTTACGAAGATATTGAAATAAACAAATATGATAAATAAACATCGCAAAAAAGAAACACTGCAAGGAACCCTACGGCATATATTTGCTAAATGTTCAGGATCTTAGAGTATGAGGTTGGCCTCTGATCCGGCTCCATGAAACAAGTGACGTTTAAAGTCTTTCAACCTAAGTTCTGAGCCTAGCCCATCGAAAGGGTCTAGGGTCTGTTTAAATGCATGGCCTTCAGTTCGTCCATGAGGTACTTGAAGAGCAGAGTTCGGTGGCGGCACATACCAGCCCCGGTGAATCGCACCTGATTGCAGACGTCCTCTAAGTGCATGGGAGACTGCAAGAAGTAGAGGAAGCTTTTGTGTTGCAACCCAACCACCCATCCGCCTACCTACCTGCTTACCTACCCACCCACCCACCCACCCACCCACCTACCTACCTACCTACCTACCTTCCTACCTAGCTAAGCCTACCGACCTGCCGACCTTAGACCTTCACATACAGTAGCATAGATTTTCAGAACTAGAGAATACCTTCACATAAAACAATTATACGTCACATACCAGTTATATACATATATGCATGAATATGTGTATATATATATATATATAACTATATACGTCCGCTTCTCGTCTTATGCTTCCCACCTGCCCGGCTGACCGAGTCGCAACGAAAGAACAAACCGTCCAAATTGAAAGTGACAGTGAGCTGCGAATTCAAAGATCAATCGCACCCTCCAAGCCGACAAGCCTAGAAGCAACTGTCCAACCGGTAAAGAAGCAAGAGAGTGCAGCTGCATCGGAATCCACAGCACCCTATTATTCTTGAGGGCCTTTTAAGATGTCTGCATACAAGTCTCGGCAAAATCTATGCATTAAGGCTTCTGTATCATTGACTTTTCCTAGAGCACAAGAACAGAGACCATAAAGGGACAGGAGTGATAAGAACGTCGATAGCTTGTTCATGACAGATTCTACAAGATCCTAACTGGCTTCCTACACGACCGCAGCTTCCCGATTTTGGAATTTCAGGTTTCAGGAATGTACGGAGTAGAGGCCGAGTCTGCAACTGTTGGAGCCCAGGAGTGAATGGCTGCACGCGAGAGGGAGCCGTAGATGTCTCGTTCTGCGTTGATCGGGGCCCGAAACCCTAAACACCCTAAACCCCTAGAGCCCTAAACCCAAAGCCACGGAACCTTTAAATCCCAAAACCCAACACTGCAGGATGCTTGGATCCATTTCCGTACCCTTGAAAAAAACGGCAGCCGCCACGGGCCAGCCTTTATCTTTCTGAGGTCTCGGCTCCAGGTTGCCGCATCCTTTGTGACATGAAAGTTCTAGTCTAGTCCAGTCTAGTCTAGTCTAGTATATATAACAGTACAGTGTATACAGTATATCGTATACTATACAGGTATATGCTATATAGTATATAAGCAGCTCACCCGGCCCTACCCCAGTGCAACTGCACGATTCTCCAGACATGCCACGTGCATCTTACCGTCCGGCTTGACGAGAACGGGCGCAATACAAGACGACCAGCTTTGCTTTATTCCCGAAGCCAAGCATCAACTTGCCAATGTGAAGCGAGTCGCCCACCTGCCGCATCTCCCAAGGTGGCGCGGCTCCCAGGCAGAATCTATCGCGAACTTCACGGCCCCACGAATCCTTGAGCCTTTTGTCGATCGAGGCAGGTTTGTACATTGTCCGACACTCCATGCGTTAGCCCGTGGCCCTGATCCGAACTCGGTTTCTAGCCAAGATACACGCAAGGCCAGAACATCGATCCGCTTTTGCCACGTCGAAGCCACCTCATCCATGATGATTGAAGCAGACTCCGGCAAGTTTAGGGGTTGTTGATCGAAAAAGTACCCCAGATGGGAGCCCTAACAATCTCCACACTGCACATGATGGCAGCAACAAGCTAGGAGTTTTGTGATATCACCGCTGTCTATGTGTAAGTTCGCCGTTCTGGCGCAGATGCAAACTATCTGTATATATATATATATATATATACACACTCTCCTGTACTGTGCCGCGAAGTCTGCGGTCATTGTGAGGCGAAAACTTTCATGTTGACTTGATCGAAGATGAGTAGAGCTGAGGTGAGGACTTTTGGATCCAGACCGCCGAAAGCCATACTGACCTCCTTGGCAACCTGAGACGAGATGAGAAATCTAGAACGGAGCGTAGGCCAGGCAGCTTCACGCGCATCTGCCTCCGCGTATGCAAGCGACATCTGGCACTTTTCAGTTTTCTTTAGCCCATATACCAGACTACCAACCCTCTTCCGCCAGCTTTCTGCAAGAGCTCACCCGCAGTAGTGTCCGGAACTATGTCGGCTGACGGCTAACTCCTTGTCTGAGAGTCTCACCAGGCGCACCATGTCTTTCGGATCGCTCTTCCGTCCACACTTCGCCTGAATGTCTTGGGATGAAGGTGGTTGGTCTTCAGCTTGCACGACTGTGGCTTGTCAGATTCGTGGCTTCTGAATTATGAACAGTAGGTTAGGGTACAGATACATTAAACAAAGAGCCGACACTCGAATGTCCCGACCGTAGCTGTCAAATTTGCACGTGGGCACCAAGAACAGCACTGGGTTTGGCACTGTTCCTGCTTCTGGTGATACAGTCGCTGAACTGAAGGTTCCAGTAGCAGCCAACACAAACTCCCAAAGCCTGTCGTCGCATTGGTCTAGCGGCTTTCAGATCCTCCACAAACTCGGCGAGGACCTTGTCTTCCTTCTTGTTGAAGACCTGGGTGTTGTTGGTGTGGAGCAGGGGATCTTGTCTACAGAGCTTGGGGCTGCCCGGTCCCGGTTTCAGGTCTATTGCCACGAAAGCTTTCGGGCAGCTGCCGCCAAATGTCTACAGAGTTTGCTAAGGGGTGTGCTCTTGTCATCCAGCCCCTGAGATCCTCGCACCTTTCCTCTGACTTCTTTGTGCCATTTTCTATCCCCAGCACCATTTCAGCCATGGAGCCAAGAACTCCTTGGAGTAGCGCGCGCAGAAACCATCTCCTATGGTATCGTCGAAGTCCAGCCGCCTGACAGCACGAGAATGGCATCTTTTCTCCGAGCTTTCTCATGTTGTGGAGCTGATATAGGGGCGTGAATAGTTGGAATAGGGTTCTGGGGTATACTATGCTATGGCTATACCTAGAGTCCTAGAGTAAAGAGCCCTAAAGAATAGTCAGTGCTTGAAGCTTCGTTGTTGCCTCATCGGTCTTGGCATGGAATGTAGGATCTCATGGGTTTCGGCTCCCGCCCTTCTTCAAGATCGTTGGAACTCCCTACAAAGTCCAAAGGATCGAAGCCCAAACTCCGTCTCTAGGAACGAGGCCCATATGAGGAGCTCAAAGCCGTGAAGCTCGTGGCTTCGTACGAAATCTCTTCTAGAGTCTAGAGACATAGCTAGGAGCCAGCCACGCTGCCAAACAAACACGGTAAACCCGTAAATCTAACAAGCGACTGCTCCGTGCCTAGGGACCTATATGCACTGTCATGTGGCCGAGATTCAGAAATTCAAAGGGTGCGGCCTAAACCCAACCGAAGTTTTGGGGGTCAGGGTTTCGGAGCGTAGCTCTGCAGAAATTGGCTGTACCAAGGTTTGCAGGTCAAGGTTGGGGAGTTTGGGTTTCACACCACCCAGGAACCCTGACAACTTGTGATCCTAGGACTCTCTGTACCGCCCTCAACCAGCCCTCCCCCGGCACCCTTGTTCTTTCCATTTCCACGCTCCGGGGCCCTTCATAACCTCGAGATGAACGGTTTGTTGTTCGGATCTTGGGTCGGCGTTGTGGACTGTGGTGTGGTTGGGGGTATGAGGTGACGGGATACTGAAGTTACTCTAAATGCCAAACAGCTGAATTGCTGTAGCATCAAGTTTGATGAGGTCCTGTCGCACCAATGCACAGACAAATCGAAACAGGGACAGGTGCGTAGGAAATGCATAGAATTAGACACAACGCGCTACACAGCTTTGAATCGCTGAACGACACCCAATGGTACGTAGTACAGAAATCTTGCTTGGGGCGGCCTGCTGATCTAAGGCTGAGGCCTGTGATTCTTTGCAGTTCAGGGCTGGTTGCTAAGAGCGCTAAGATTCCTAAAAAGCCCAAACCGATGAGCCCTGGTATTTGAAGCAGTGCCCTTGCTGCTTCTGGCAGAAACTTGAAAGCAATCATAAGTGAACCATACCTCGTCCTCCTCTTGTAACTCTTTTCGAAACGAACCAAAAGTGTAAGCAAGGCGTGAATTGTGAATAGACGGATTTGGGCGAAGAGTTGTGCCGCCGAGCACACGGAGTTTTGGTGAAGCTAGGGGATGCTGTCAGGGCATCCCCCTCTCCGAAAGCAGTGGTTTATGATGCAATGGCTTTATGATTGTTCATTGCTAGCGGTCATATGCTGTGCCTTGCGCAATGCCTCTGCGGATTCGCAAGGCGACCAGCCCAACGTCAATCGCCAGGTTCAACGCATCACTTTGTACTGCTAAGCACGAAATTAAGTCACAAATGACTCTGAAATGCGATGAGTGCAATCGAAAACAGCTGTCATGATGGACCAACATCGACAACGTGCAGACCGATGATATCATGCGTGCCGGACCACAAAGAAGCCCCGGTGCCGCTACAGTGAATCACCATAAGCCCGGAACTGAAACAACACCACGAAGGATTTTCAAATCGCACAGACTCTGTTTTTCACGAACAGGTCAGCCAATAAGACGTAATGGAAACGGATGCTTCCGCTCCCTATTTTTCTCCAGCTACTGTAGAGCCGTGCCCATGTACACACCATGCAAAGACAACCTCAACCCTCTTCGACGATCATCGCGAGTCGATCCTTGACACCATGGAGCTCGCTCCTCGACGGAAGGTCGCTGTCGGAACAGCTTCTCATGCGCCTCCCAGCGGAAACACTGTAAGTCACAAGGGCTTACGACTTGGGTTCAGGCAAAGGTTTACGGCTTAGAGCTTGTTACTGTAAGTCAGGATTCCCCGTCAGCTCTCTTATATGACAGTCGTCAGAGGTGGAGGTTTCTTGGTGCCACTTCAAGCAACAGGGTTGTGCAAGAATGTCTAGCTGGAGGCTCCCCAATCGTCCCACCAATCAGCTGTGATTCAGAGCCCTTTGGTCGCAGCGGGCACTCGTAACAAATAGTCGTCAGGCCGCTCAGATGCTCGCATACCCGTGCCAGAAGCAACGAAACATGGAAACTGCGAGACTGGCAGGCTCCTTCGGCCTCTTTGCGAGTCTGCCCCATGCGTCCGGGGATGTAGTGGCCAGCGCCATTGATGCTGCTTTCCTTGATCTATTCTTGTAATATTAATATAGTACATGATTGCGTTACATTACATTGCATTACAATATGCTACATTATAAAAAATTGCAGTAAAGTAGAGTATAGTCTAGTTCACTGTGGTCTGATTATGCTACAGCCTAGTAAGCGTCTAGTACTATTCTAACATATCATAAATTCGGTGCGGTGGAGACCGATCTTTCCGGACTGCAGAATACAGTGCTTTTGTATTTTTCCCTCTTCCTACGCCTGCTACTGCCACGTCGTTATTCCTACCACTACGACGTTTACGACGCCAGATCATAGGAGGCCGAAAAAGATAGGTGTCATTAGTGTCATTGCAATGAAATCCTGCAAGCCACTTCTTGCTATGCTTTACCGGCCTGACCCTGTGCTTCGGGCAAGTTCACAAGCTTCCAACGAGCATGTGTATGCATGTATGTATGTATGTATGTATGTATGTATGTATGTATGTATGTATGTATATGTACTTGTATATGTATATGTATTTGTATTTGTATTTGCATATATATATATATACATATATATATATATACGCATGTTAACAGTATGTGAGGTAGTAAACTCTAGTAATGATTAGTAATGCTAATCAATAGTGGCAGCAGTCAGCTAATAACATGACATACATCCACTCTCCGTCAGATGGGGCGGCCTGCGCTCGGGACCTCAGAATTGAGACCTGAACCTTTGAGAACTTGCGGGGTTTAGGGTTTACGCTCTTACAACTTGGACAAGGCAGGCAAGGTTCAACAGGTGCTAGTCGCATGAAACCGGGTTTGGGGTTCAGGGTGCAGGAGAAAGAACAGGACAGAGCCCTCTGCGTTCTCTCGGCAATCAGATGGGGATTCGTCGGAACTCTCAAGACGGGCCATGATTCACGAGCACCTCTCATAGCCTTTGCAGAATGCAGCAATACCCGCAGAAAACGTAGGACACACTGCGGATGACAGGTTGCCGTGGAGCTGGCCTAAGGTTGGGCACGCAGCTGCTCAATGATGAGGGCCCAGCTCGTTTATGGATTCCTTCACGTAGCATGTTCTATACACATACATTGTATGTGTATATATATATATATGTGTATATATATACGTAAGTCAGAAGACTGTGGCATAGTAAATAAGAGTGATGACCGTGAATGAACAAATAAACCAATCAACCCAAACACATCCGTGCATCCGTGTGTCCGGCACGGGTTTGGGTGGTGGCCGCAGCGCCATGGCTGCAGAAGCAAAGATCGGAGCTCGAAATCGAAACCGGAAGACAGCCGACTCAGCCGAGCAAGGGAGAAATACGAAGTTGGGTGTACCCGAACCCAATGTGCTTGCGATAGAATTTCGCGACTTCGACCGCAACAAATCGGGAGGTCGAAAACAAGAAAAGCCTGAGCCTATTTGCAGTGGAGTCAGGCTCACATTTTCGCTTTTCCCAACACCTGTTGCACTGTTGCAATGAAAGCGTCCTGGATGCCATCCAAAAGCCCGCTGTTCGGTCCACTCAGGACTGCAAGTCGCAAGGCATCTTATTCCTCCTATGACTGGGGGTGGTTTCATCTTAACTGAGGGCATTTGCGCCATACCGAGATCTTTTACTTGAGAAAACCCACTCAAACATGTAATCATCAGAAAGCCTGGGCGAGGTTCCGGGTACAACGACGACGCCACATTGGACCACTCATGAAAGGAAAGACGGTTTCCAGCACATGTCGAGTCGTCAACGCCGAAACCCGACAGCAAACTTTGCGCTTCAGGCGCAAAACTCTAACCTACACTCCCAAGTCAACGATGCAGTGCCCCTTTGTCCGTTCATAGTCGCTGCTGCTGCAGCTGCTGCTGGCATCCGAGCCGGTGCGCTTGCAGTTGTCACTCTGTCGTTCTTGCCGTTCCTAGTGCTGCTGCTGGTAGCGGTGGCTGCAGTTCTTGCAGTGG